AAGAAAGGAAAATCAGAAGATATTTAACAATATTTAGCAAAATATTGGTAGTCTGATACTAATGTGTTATCTCCCTTATACCATTAGACCTATCAAATAAGATATAACAATTTTTCAACTTTTTTCAAAGATTGTTTTTCTTTTTGGACCATTTATACTACACTGAGCAACAAGGAAAACGCATCACTTTTTTTCCAAAATATTTTATTACTAGGTGGTTTTGTATGTATAATATTATGCAATACTATGAACTGTTGTTTCACACAATGCTCCCAAACGCAAAAAATATCGGCCCGTGTGCACAAAAAAAAATTGCACGAGATGCACATGAAAAACCCAACATTCACGTGCAGCATTGTGTGTGAGCCCTTTAAAAGCATGTTTTCAACTTAATGTGCAGTACATGAACTGTGAAACGTCAATCTGTTGTTGTTGTTGGACGTGTGAAGGAATCGAGCTAGAGATGCCGAGACTTACTGAAAATCAACGGAATGAAGCCATGGGAATGTCCAGGGCTGGCATGTCTACACGTGCTATTGCCAGACAGTTCAATTGTCATCAGTCCACTATTGTAAAGTTAATGGAACATGTTCGAGTTACTGGATCAACACGTGACCGTCAACGTCCTGGCCCACAACGCGTTACAACCCAGGCTCAAGACCGCTACATCCGGGTCACTCATCTGCTTGACAGGTTCCGCCCAGCGACTTGAACAGGTGCAGCAGTCATCGGAAGACAAGGACCAGTAAGTGCCAACACCGTAAGACGTCGTCTAAGAGAAGTAGGACTCCGTGCATGACGACCTTATGTTGGAGCTATCCTCAGGGATCATCACCGTCAGCGGCATTTGATATGGGCTCAAGGACACCAGACATGGAGAAGAGTAGACTGGCAAAGTGTGCTCTTCAGTGATGAGAGTCGCTTTCATCTTTATCACGCTGATGGCCGTCAACGTGTGTGGAGACGTCTTGGGGAACGTCTTGCAGAATGCTGCGTCTTCGAAACGAATCGATGGGGTGGGGGGAGTGTAATGGTGTGGGGAGACTTCACATTTCATCACCGGACCGCCCTACAAATTTGCAGGGGTCACGTTAATGCTGTAGCCTACCATGACGATGTCTTGCAACCAATTGTTGTTCCGATGTTTCGAGCGCACCCACAACTTCAGCACTTCCAACAGGATAATGCACGTCTGCATACCACCCGTTTTAGTATGGACTACCTGGCTGCTAACAACAACAATGTCTTGGACTGGCCAGCCATGTCTCCGGACATGACACCGATAGAACATGTCTGGGATGAGATTGGACGCTGTCTGTATCGGGGACCACAGATGCACACCATTGCTGCTTTAAAAGCTGCTCTTGTCCAAGAATGGAACAATTTGCCCCAGCCCTTCTTTCAAACATTGGTAAATTCCATGCGACGTCGCTGCACAGCGTGCGTAAGAGCCCTTGGAGGACACACGCGCTACTGACATCTGTGTCGTACTTTTGGTTTTGACCCCTCTGACTTTGTACCGTTGATTACAGATTAAACATCCATAAGTCTACAAATGTGTTGTTATTGATGTGTTCTCATTTGAATATTGTTCACAATAAGAAGCAAAATAAATAAGATATGTTTACAGGATCATTTTTATACGCCCGCATTGAAATGTGGTCGTATATTGTCGTCGCCCCCGTCCGTCGGTCTGTCGGTCTGTCCGTCGTCCACATTTGCTTGTGGACGCTCTAGCGGCTAAAGTTAATATCCGATTGACTTTAAATTTATATACAGTGTTTAAGGCCATGAGACGAAGAAGCCTATTGATATTCAGCGATTTCCGATAATTAATGCTAGAGTTATGGCCCTTGATCACTTCAAAAAATCTTGTGGACGCTCTAGAGGCGAAAGTTAATATCCGATTGACTTTAAATTTATACACAGTGTTTAAGGTCATGAGACGAAGAAGCCTATTGATTTTCAGCGATTTCTGATAATTACTGCCAGAGTTATGGCTCTTGATCACTTCAAAAAAATCTTATGGACTCTCTAGAGGCCAAAATTAATATCCTATTGACTTTAAATTTATACACAGTGCTTAAGGTCATGAGACGAAGAAGCCTATTGATTTTCAGCGATTTCCGATAATTACTGCCACAGTTATGGCCCTTGATCACTTCAAAAAATCTTGTGGACGCTCTAGAGTCTAAAGTTAATATCCGATTGACTTAAAATTTATACACAGTGTTTAAGGTCATGAGACGAGGAAGTCTATTCATTTTCAGTGATTTTCGATAATTACTGCCAGAGTTATGGCCCTTGATCACTTCAAAAAACCTTGTGGATGCTCTAAAGGCTAAAGTTAATATCTGATTGACTTTAAATTTATACAGTGTTTGAGGTCACGAGGCGAAGAATCCTATTGATTTTCAAAGATTTCTGATAATTACTGCCAAAGTTATGGCCCTTGATCATTTTGAAAAATCTTGTGGACGCTCTAGAGGCCAAAGTTAATATCCGATTGACTGAAGATCTTGAGACGAACAAGTATATTGATTTTCAATGAATTTTTATGACTTGGAACAGCTAAATTCATGATACAGTATTAAAAGTTTTGTATACAAAACGTTAGCATGGGGCAGAACTTTATAAAAACCAAACAAATTCTAATAGTTTTCTGAGTTGTTGCTCTTAATCAGATTTTAGTGTATTATAAATGTTTCATTACCGAAAAAAGTAAAAATATGCGACACCTCTCGTTGACTGCCCGGACGATTTAGCTGCTGTGGGCGTATGTTTCGTTGCCTGGCAACCTATCTTGTTATACGAAAAACTAAGTGATGCGTTTTCCATGGCGGTCAGTATATATTGAGGCTTTCAAATTTGGATTCACACCCTAGACCACCGTTAGGACTCTAAGTAACAGAAGTTTAAGAAAGGAAAAAAGAGAAGTTTTCGGGATGAAAGCATCTGAATAGCCCCCAAAAATGAAAATACTATATTTTCAGCGTCCCATTATATATTGCCTAACCAGCGCATTTTTACCATTTAGATGTCATATGATCTAACATTTTTCATTTTTCGAACGCTAGAAGTCAGCGACGAAGTTTCGAAATTTCGAAATTTTCAACTGCTATCATCCGAGAAAAGACCCAGGGTTTCTGAAAATGTCATTTGTATGAAAATAGGTACAGAATTGACGAAGTTACGGCCGTTTTTTAATTTTTATGCACCGCACGAAATTCGGCCACTTCCGGTCTGCGCAGAAGTTTCGAAAATACTTTATCAAGTAGCCACCACCCAGTTTCCCGATAGAAAATTGAACCTTATCTTTTTTCGATCATGGAGAAATAGGCTCGCGTGGTAAATAATAATAATAATAATTTTAGTAATCTCAATAGGCTTTCAGACAAAGTCTGAAAGCCTAATAATAATAATTTTAGTAAAAACAATAGTCTTTCAGACAAAAGTCTGAAAGCCTAATAATAATTTTAGTAATCACAATAGGCTTTCAGACAAAAGTCTGAAAGCCTAATAAATAATAATAATTTTAGTAATCACAATAGGCTTTCAGACAAAAGTCTGAAAGCCTAATAATAAACATAAAACTGTGATTAAAAGGGGACGAAAGGTGTATTGTTCTATTGATGAGTGAAAATTTCTGTAGAACGATAGTAATAGAGATAGTAAAACAATTGGTCAATTGTTATCAAAATGATAACGAAATGCATTTAGAATCTGTTGATAAGTATAATGTCGGGTTGATAATTAAATCTACGGACTACGGCAATATTATTAGTTCCACTAATCTAAACACATAAACATATAATAAACAAGGTAAATGAGTGTGTGTCAAAAGAATAATTTCTTACTGAGTGTGTTACGTAAATACTGAAATAAATATATGTTTGCAGCTAAAAGATGTTTGTTAATTTATTTAGCATGTTGTGTAACTTAATAAAATTGGTGGAGTCAATGCATGAAATTTGACCTTTCCTTCGTTCAAGTCTCCTTATGTCTCCCTCACAATGCCGTCATGACGTCACACCATGACCTGCTGGCGTCTTGATGACCTTTTTTTCCGGTTCGTTGGTATCACTTTTGTATCTGATGATACACATTTATATGCTCTAAAACGAGCCGTTTCCAAGATATGGAGGCCAGAAAGTCCAATTGGCGGCCATCTTGGATTTATGCTAATTATGAAAAACGCTACAGGGTTTCAGTGGACAATTTTGAGTTGGGAGTCCTTTAGACATCCCTTTACTAGATTCCAGTGAAAGAAATTCTTTTGCAATTTGTTCTCGGTAGTTTTTTATTTCTCTCCGTCTACATCTCCCTATTCAGCCTGTATTCAGAAGTCACATCTCCCAAAGATTTGCCCCTAGTTTGAGCCCTGCTGTAGTTGCCATCCTTAGGGTATAAGGAATAAGTATACCGAGTTCCAAGATAATCCATTCAGAATTGTAGCCTCTGTGCGCTAAAGACATAAATTGGGCGTGGCTCTACCCCTGGTGGTCGGGACATGCACCAATTCAATAGTTGCCGCCCTTAAGCTATACATATGCCAAGTTTCAAGCTGAACCATTCAGAATTGAAGTCTGTATATGATAAACACAAAAATATGATGCACCAAAATCAATAGTTGCCGTCCTTAGGCTATAAGGAATAAAAATGCCAAGTTCCAAGATGAACCATTAAGAATTGTGGCCTGTAGGCAACACACAGACACACAAAGTTTGAAGACGATTAGTTTAGAATTGTGGCCTGTAGGCCAAACCCCGCCCACACACAAACACACAGACAGGGTTGACGGCAAAATACGTCCACATTATGAATGTGACGTATAAAAATCAAAACCATGAAACATCAGGGTATGTTCGGTTTTTCAATATTTTTCTGAAGACGGTATTTTTGACAGCTTTTATTCCGACGGTTTTGTATCAAAAAAACGAAATATCACCCAGCTCTGTCATCATCTATGTACAATATTTTGAATTCTAATTGATTGTTACCTGGAGTGTCCTTCAACAGAAAACATGGCCTCTCCCTTTAACTACAATATAAAACATGTTTGATTTAGGTATTTATAACATAATCAGGATTGGAGCAATGTGATTATGGAGATTTTTTTAAATGTGCTTTCCTTGTTTACAGTAACACAGAACTTTGTGGAATTTTCTCCTCCTGGTAAAAGGTTTGACATTTCTTTAATTTTTCCTGGCTGTAGTATTCACTTACCCAAAAGAGGCGCGTCGAATTACCCAATAACTGCCCAATGACACCCAATAACTCCAAAATAACACCCAATAACTCCAAAATGTTACTTTGGAAATACAAATTAACAATTTAGTTTAATTTAAGAAGCCTCGCTGCATTGTGCCCAAATCAGAGTTTCACACTCACTCTCCTAAAGGGAGATAACTCGTGTATGTAATTTTTGTTGACAAGAAATTAATGTATGCTTTTGTTGCAATGTATTGTAATTATGTGCATGAAACAATTTTATGGTATATACATTGCAAAAACCAAATAAACGAGATACTTGGCGGTTAATTTTAATTCCTTTACAAATAAATATTTTTATTAAAACATACACATATTTAAAAATGTTTCATATGAAATTATAAAGATAACAAAATAATTAGCCTGTAAAGGAATTCTAATTAACTGCCAACCATTCTACGCACAAGGGCGCTACCTGATGAGGCAACAAGATACTTTGCAGTTAATTTAATTCCTTTACAAACCACGGGCCTGTATTTTGTATCTTATTTGTTAGGATGATCTGGGTGCCAGTACACTATCATCGGCAACTGCATTGTGCCCAAATCAGAGTTTCTCACTCACTCTCCTAAAGGGAGATAACTTGTGTATGTAATTTTTGTTGACAAGAAATTAATGTATGCTTTTGTTGCAATGTATTGTAATTATGTGCATGAAACAATTTTATGGTATATACATTGCAAAAACCAAATAAACGAGATACTTGGCGGTTAATTTTAATTCCTTTACAAACCAATATTTTCATTAAAACATACACATATTTAAAAATGTTTCATATGAAATTATAAAGATAACAAAATAATTAGCCTGTAAAGGAATTCTAATTAACTGCCAAACATTCTACGCACAAGGGCGCTACCTGACGAGGCAACGAGATACTTGGCGGTTAATTTAATTCCTTTACAAACCACGGGCCTGTATTTTGTATCTTATTTGTTTGGATGATCTGGGTGCCAGTACACTATCATCGGCAACTGCGTTGAAGTATATGTCCGCAGGGGCTTTGTGTTCGCCATTGTCAACACATTTTTGTACGATTCTAGGGTCTGTTCTGATATAAGCGCGATTATTTTTAGAATTTCCGTGCTGTAAATTCTGTACGGTTTTCGTACCACAATATTCAACGAGTGCCATCTTCTGAAAATGACTCAAGTCCTTCGGCGCGGTCTTTATTGGTGATTTTCTTATTATACTCGTTGTCGCCTTTAAGTTTGCAGTAATACCGGTGAAAAATAATGTAGCCGTCAGGCTGGGGAATACACTTTACATATGTTGTCTTTTCATACACAACCACACACAAATTTTTTGTTATACATCATATCATTTCTATTAAAAACATGTTTGACAGTTGATTATTTTCCCCAATAGAATACGGGTGGTTTGCAGTTGTCCCTTTAGTCGAGTCCCACACACCCATGTCATCTGGAAAAACGTCTTTCTGTCCTTCTTTACGTTCCATATTTAGAACAACATAGACATTATCTTTCATTCCCAAAGGAATTCTATCCATGTTAAACTGCACATCATCTTTCAAGCTTCAAGTGATGAATTTAGTGCTGACCTCGATGGCTGGATCTCCTTTGACTCACTTACATCAATATTGGTTATCACAGAACTTCTCTTGCGCGAAAAATCAATAAAATCCTCCTCCTCAAATGAAATATAGGAAGTTGCACTGGGGGATTACACAAGAGCTTTTGATGAAGTTTTTGTTGTATAACCAGTCGTAACTATGGATGCTGAATCATCACTGATGCAGCTATCGTCATTAAAACGTCAACAAGATTCCTGGTTTCAAAATCAACACTGTCAATTTGGTGGGTTCTGGTTTTCGTTTTGTCTGGTAATACAGGGATGGGGTTGACAGAAAGCTTTAGGTTTGTAGGTGATAGGCTAGTATTCAGAGTAGAAGTACTTGGGGGTGCTTGTAAACCTTTTGCTTGAAGGAGCAGTGCAACGAAATGGTTGGGAAACAAGGAACCTTTTCTGGGTTAATTACAATTGGTGGTGTTTGATCATTAATATCTTTACCGGTTCAGTATATGGCAGATGTGTGTCAGGTTGCAACAAGACATTACATTTTTGGAAAACGATGTCCTTAAAACTGACGTTGGCGTTGATGTATGGATACACGGACATTATTGGAATCTGTGTAACATTAGCTAATGCAACCATAGTCCAAATACTGGAATAACAAGACCCAAGACCAACACATTCGAAGCAGGATTCTTCATATTCTGGAAAGTATACACTAAAGTTGGTTCTGTTTTTTCATTGAAATATTTCTTATTTTTTTGTCACCATTTCAATACAAGCCATATCTTAACTGCGTACTTAAGGATTCATTACCAACCTGGTGTAAAGAAAACGAGTTGAATAAACAATTGCCATCCATAGTTGATTGGATTGGTATCTTTATTTCTGTTGTGAAATATTTAACGATATTCATGCAACTTTATTAGTTTTCTTAAATACTTCTGGTTTGGTTATGGTCAGGTAAATTTGAAGATGGTTATTTGGAAAAAATGCTGATTCGCGTGTTGCTACAGATTGAAGTTCCTTATAACCACGTCGAGCAGCCTGTAATAAATAGATTTAACGTGGGATTTTTATTATCTTTATATTAATTACTGTATTTACACCACATTGTATTTTACAAAATTGTAAACTGAATCTTCATATATGTATTTGATCATAACTAGGTAAAAAAAGCGAGAAGTCCAAAGTTTCGACAAATCAGACTGACGTCTCTCCTTAGTCTAGGTATTGACTTCCTACCCAGGAGCCAAACTTTTAACTGGATATTTCCGCAGAATATGAAATTTAAAACACAAATTAAAATTAATTCGTCCATATTTAATTGTAATTACATGTATCTATTGTTTCATGCATATAATTACAATACATTGCAACGAAAGCATACATTAATTTCTTGACAACATAAATCACATACACGAGTTATCTCCCTTCAGACGAGTGAGCGTGAAACTCCAATTTGGGCACAAAGCAGCAAGGCTTCTTAAATTCAACTAAATTGTTATTTTGTGTTTCCAACGTCAACATTTTGGAGTTATTGGGTGTTATTGGGCAGTTATTGGGTAATTCAACGCGCCACCCAAGAGGGTAAATCTACATATTTGTATATATAAAATTATACATAGCTCTTATATAAGTACGGTCAACCTTTGTTTTAATTGGAGACCATCTCTGGAGGACCCCACTATCATGACATACTGCTTGTATACAACTTATACGCTGGAAATTCGACCAAAAATAAATAAGAATTGATACAGGAAAGGAAATTTAAATGTCAATTCATTTATGAACTTAGGAAATCGACCAATCAATATTTATTTATGGCCAAACATCTAGTGTATTGACTGTAAAAATAAAAATTATGTTAAATATTATTAGTACCTCTTAAAGTAAAGCTACGTTCCCAGAAAAGTATTTATCGGGTGATTATTTTCACTAAAAGTATGGCAATTTTGGTATATATGGAAAGTAGAAATATCCAATCTTACTAGAAATATAATGGATTCCCTGAAAAACACTCATGGAGCACATACAGGACAAAAATGTGCGGGTTTCCCTAATCGACAGCCCGACGATTAGGAGTGTCTGCACGTGTGACGTCAAAGGTTGCACGCGGAGATTGAGTGCTTGATATACATGTTGATAAACTTTATGAAGAGTTAGACGTACAACACTTTCTGAGATAAAAATCACGGAAAAAGACGCGGGCAGTGGATAATTCGACAATTTAATTAGGCTTCGATATTTGTAATAAATAGTCAGCGATAAAGGCAACATCGTCTTGTGTATGTAATGAATTCTCCTCTGAACTCGCACCCGTTGTGTCACGCAGAAACATGACCTCTTTTGATCGATTTTTTATAGCCGGCTATTCCCTGAAAATTGCAATGTTTTGAGAAGGATTTGAAGCAAAATTATGATAAATTAATTAGTTTGAATATGTTTTTAGTCCAAATATATCATCAAATCACCCAGTTTGTACCCGGGAATGTATCTTTAAAAGATATAAAACATAGATGAGAATTTTACAGTAATAACACTCGACAAGGTATGTTTATGAAATTAAATTAGAACTGCTGATCAGTGAATATCTGTGACGAACCATGTGGTGGCAAACAATCATGCCAAATATCACCATTTAACGCCAAGCAGTCAAAATTATGGATTATGGAAACGGACTTGGGGTCTTCAAAGATAAACAAAGATTGTAACCTTGACCTTTGGATCAAGTTTTAGATTCCAACCTTATCTGCGATACACATACTTTCTAGTGGTGATGAACAATCATGCAAATTTGCAAAGTATCACCATATAACTCGAAGCAGTAATCAAGATATAGATCAGCGGACATGATTTGTGATGAACAGACCGACTGACTGACTGATCACTATAGTGAGGCACGCCTATGACCAGGCCCTAATAATATCAAAAACAAAAGGAAACATTCTGTTTGTTTCTGTCCAAACTAGGCATTGACCCTACTTATCTTACTCAATTCTTGCATTTAAATCACTATAGATCTCATTCAACAGATGGTAAAACATACTGGGGAAATAAAAACTAACAGGCTTTGTGGATAACTATTATTGTACAAATACGCATGATGTACTATGTCAATAAGTCCTTAAGAAAATTGTATGTTATATAACGGAATGCAGTTGTGTTCAATATGTAGGTAGGGTAATAACATGTACTTTAATTACCAGCATATAAGCTGTAATGTGAAATAACATATATATTTGTAGTGGTTTGGTCCAAACATATATTAACATGCGAACAATTTGATGATGATTATGTATTATAATTATCTACTTACAGGATCCCATAATCTAATAGTTTTATCAATAGACCTGTAATATATACCATAATACTCATTTATTATATATATTTAGGAAATGAGTGTTGACTTTTTTTTGGATATTGGGTAATATACTTCAGTTCCTCATGAGTCACATGGTATCAATTTTTTTTTTTTGTCAATACGGCTATTCGTGTCATAAAATGGTATCGACCAGGCTTGAAAAGTTTTAGAAATGCATATGAGGTGATAACATCATATTGCGCTGATATAACAATCATAGCAGATCACTGTAGCCGCTGTCATCAATGTCAATGAGTTTAGGCACGAAAGCTTGTAGCCTACTATAGAAAAGTTGTCTAGTTTAATTAAACATCTGATAACAAAAACATAATATAGCCACGCACAGCGTGGAAATACGCCCACACACCAGTCAGGTCTCAACAACATTTTATCCGAAAGGATAATTGTTAAAAATGTCCGCAGGGTTTTCGGAAAAGGAGACATAACTTTGATGCTTAATATCACAGAACACTGAATAAAGATATGTTTCGTGTTTTCAAGACCACATTGCTTTGAAAAAAATCTATCAAAATATGGAAGCCTCTATTGTGTTCACAAGATTTCGGCAAAGGGGGGATAACTCTGAAATGGAAAGTCGGAGAACGCTAAATATTGATAGGGTTCATCCCCTCATCAAATCTTAAAGATTCTGTTAAAAACAGAAGCCGCTTCCATATTCACACTGAAAGGAAAAGTTGTGGAATGCTGAATATCAATAGGCTTTACTCTCTCATGGCCCCAATGCTTCCAACCAAATGTCAAAGAAATCCCTTAAAAACTATAGCCTTTATCTCGCTTAAAATTTTTTTTTAGAAAATTGGGACGCCGAATATCAATAGGGTTTGTCCTCTCATGACCACAATGCTTTTCACCAAAAACTGTAGCCTCTATTGCATTCACAAGCCAATTGTTGGCGGACCAACGGACGGGTTGACAACCATATACGACATTATTCACCCAAAGTATGTGTGGGTGTATCAAACTGTGTAGCAGAAAACCGAAATTCAAGTGATTACGGCATCCACCTAAATAAAATTCTTCAGTAATCAAATATGTGCAACAACTTACCCTGAAGCTAGAATGGTGCCATCAGGTGAAAAACAACAGGTTAAAATAGAATCTGTATGGCCTGGTAATGTATCACGTAACTTTAATAATACAGCTGTAATAATAATGTTTCAAGATCTGACAGTCATTACATTGTTTTCATATTTCAACTACTGGGCTGGTGCTTGTGGCCATTAGACCCCATCTTCTAATTGACTTGTACCTTTTGAATTTTGAAATCTGCTCTTTATATATCTAGATTTGCAATATAATTTGATGTGTGTTTTATTTTAAAATCCTTTATTACATCTATGATATAACAAGCATAAGCACAACCATCAGTCAAAAATAAGGCATCTTTCGGACTCTTGCAACTCGCTCTAGCCAGAGTGGCTAATCTCTGAAAACGCTAAATACTGTCAGTCTTAGGAACGCCGAATGGTCTCTGATTTGACTTCTTCTCACTGGTCTCTTTTATACCTCTGATTTCTGTGATGAGCTATTTAATAATTATTTGATTGGTTAAATTATGCCAGAAATATGCATGCCTAATTTGGAGACTGAATGAACAAAGTACAAATTTCCTTATAGAGATGGACATGCACATTTTCTTTCAACTTAACTGGGATAATTTACTAATTTGAACAGATAACTCTGTCATCATATCTGGTAAATTCCCACTTCATTATTTTAAGGTGCAATTATGATATCAGTTTAAAGACAGGTTGCCAGGCAACGAACCATACACCCACAGCAGCTAAATCGTCCGAGCGGTCAACAAGGGTTGTCACATATTTATTCTTTATAATTTTGGTTGTTTGAGGGTTAACAAGGTTGTACAAACTGAAACAAGCGCCTTAACTCTGGAGGTAATTTACAGAAAATTTTGAAATTTGACAGGCTTTTTCGTTTTACTAATCTAAATAATGCATATAAATTTCATACAGATAACTTTTGTCATTCGAACATTCACAAGGTTCACAAAGTAAAACAAGGGCCATAACTCTAAAAATAACTGACAGAAATTCAATAGACTTCCGTAACACAAATTTAAATGATGCATATAAATTTCATACATATCGGATGCTAACTTTCATCAATCGAGCATTAACCAGGTTGAACAAAGTGAAACAAGGGCAATAACTCTAGAAGTAATCATTGTAAATTGCTGAAATTCAACCAGCTTCGTTGTTGCACTAATCTAAATGACACATATAAATTTCATACAGATCGGATGATAACTTTAGTGAAACAATGGTCATAACTCTAGACGTAATAAATGAAAAATGCTGAAATTCTATAGGGTTCTTCGTTTCACTAATTTAAATAATGCATATGAATTTCACAAAAATCGGATGATAACTTTAGATGTTTGAGCGTTCATAAGGTTCAACAAAGTGAAACAAGGGCCATAACACTAGACGTAATAAATCGAAATTGTTAAAATTTCACAAAAATCAGATGATAATTAACTTTAAATGTTAGTACGTGTATAGTGTATAAAGCGCCTAAGGGCAGCACATGTTTTATGTTCCTCTGTGTTTTTACTAATTATTGTTGTGAACAAGGATTTGGATTTATGTGATTTTTGGACTGGTCCTGTATCACAGTACAAGTACAAGAAACAACTTTAGCAAAAAAAGATCAGAAAAAGATTGATTCGTACGGTAGTTTTGGTAACTTTTATTAGTTCATATTCACTTTATTGTGAAATACAATTCTTCATGAACCAGGATTTGCTACATTGACATGATATACTCGTCAACACAATCATTGTTCTTGTCCAGTCAATTAAGACCAAGGGGTTGTAGAGCTGGCAAGAATAAACAGAGATTAATTAAGACAGTCATTAGTGAAAGAATTCCTATTTTCAAGACTAACCAAGGTGTTGATTTTAATAACTTAATTGATCTGACCCTAAGTTCTCCAGCAAAGAAAGTGAAAAACGAGAAAATTCTGAAAAGTTTAGTTTATGCATATTGAATACCAGCTGTCCGAAATAAAACTGATGAACTGAATGACTGAATGAATATGTTGTTGATAATGATGTGGATTTATTTATTGCAACTGAGTCATGGATTTCGCAGTGAAGACACAGTTATCATCAACAATAGTTCCTGCCAACTTTAACTCTCCATTTGAAAATAGAAAACATTCTAAAGGAGGTGGAATTGCCTGTCTCTTTAAAAAATCTGTAAAAGTTTCCCTGAGTAAGTACAAAAAACTTATTTTCAACTTTTGAAATACTACAATTAAACGTACTCCTTGGCAAGAATCATGTAAGAATAGTGTCAATATATCGCCCTCCTTCAACACGTATTGTGGATTTCCTGACAGAATTTGCTGAACTACTCAATAATCTGAATACTGGATCTGGACATTTACTAATTCTTGGAGATTTCAATCTTCATGTTGATAAAGTCAATGATTCGAACATTAAGAAATTTTTACTATTGTTAGACGCATTTAATTTAAAACAGCATGTGGATGTGCCAACCCATAGACATAACCATATTCTTGACCTTGTGATAACAAGAGAACATGATTCCATTATTCAATCATGTGACGTTGTTGATCATCAGATATCTGATCACTACAGTTTATTCTGCCATCTTCCGTTTCCTAAACCTGAACCAATAAAGAGGACAATAAGTTTCAGAAAAACAAAAAACATTCTTATTGATAAATTTAGAAGCGATATTAATAATTCATTACTTCTGAGTACCATTGCCACCAAGCCGGATACCCACCAACAAGTGGATGTTTACAATGACATTCTTTCCGAAATACTGGAAAAACATGCTCCACTGAAAACAAAAGAAATCATTATTCGGCCTAATAAACAATGGTACACTGATGAAATACGTGATCATAAGGTTAAACGCAGGAAAGACGAGAATAAAAGGAGAATAACCAATCTTGAAATTCACAAACAAATTTACAATAAGGCTCGAACTACCACTAACAATTTAATTGAATTGGCTAAACGATCCTTCACTAAGGACTGTCTGTTATCAAACAAACATAATCCATGCGAAGTCTACAAACTTACAACCAGTCTGCTAAAACCATGGACCGTGTATAGATGGACAGGCAACACCCTCGAAGCCTTTAGAATTCTGTGCCGCGGCAAAAGAAAGACCTGACAATCGTGACTAAATTAAATTAGCTCCCCTCGCGCAAATACCTGTATTAAGTTTAAAAGCAAAGAAACAGAAATCAATTCATAGTAATTTTATTAATCTTGCTACTCTTTTTTTTTTTTGAAACCCATACATTGATAGACTACTAACTGATGATTGGGGTGTAAATATATCAACACATCGTCTTTGTTTACTTCGGACGCGCCTATGTGAATCAAAAAAAAACCGTCGAGTTTTTCTTAAAAACAAATCTACTAAAACACTCTTTTAATTTTTACTTCTGCACAATTAATCATCATTCCGGACAGTATTATACCTGAACTTTATTTTCATAACTTTAAAATCCTTCATACATACGGGAATTTGGAGTATTAAGCAAATCCAAAATGCTTACAAAACCTACGAAAATATTGAAATCGATAATTTCACAATTTTCAACTGCTGCATTTGGAAATTTCAAAGTTTCAAACTGGACAAATTCGTCACTACATGATAGGAATACTTATCAGGTTGAAAAATTTCCGTGTAACTATAAGAATACCGTAAATTCCAAGGAGGAGTTCGAGAAATTAATCAGTATAAAATCCTGCAATGTCAAAAACCACATCGCTTGATTTGCCGTTGACATTGAGATCTCGCCGTGTCTCGCGTGAGCGGCAGAGAATCCAACAAACGGGACTCGTTGCCTGTCCATCTATACACGGTCCATGCTAAAACCAAGAGAAGCAAAGGTTCTGCCATCTGTTCAAAATGATGCTAGCCTATCAGATCAATTTTCAGAATTTTTCCACGACAAAGTCCCACCATTCGACAAGGACTCAGCGTAAATAAACCAACAAACATATTCATTGAGAAAAAGTTTGAAAGTTGCACACTTGAGAACTTTTGTCTAGCAATAGAAGATGAGATAAGAGAAACAATTCAGAAATCAGCCTCAAAGTCATGTTCCCTCGATCCTCTGCCAACATGGATACTAAAGATTTCCGAAGTGGAGTTAATTCCAGTAATCACCCAAATTGTGAACATGTTTTTAGTAGGCGCAGAAGTATGTGAAACGCTCAAAACAGCCCATGTGACATCCCCCATTAAAAAATCAACCCTTGATCCTAATGTGCTAAAAAAATTACCGACCTGTGTCGAATTCATCTTTCATTTTGAAAATTATTGAAAAAATTGTCCTTAATCGTTTTAAATATCATTTGTGTGAAAACAATCTCCAAGAAAAATTTCAATCAGCATACAAAAAACGGCACAAAAAATCGGTGTCCCTAGTTTTATTGGACTTGATTGCGGCATTTGATACGATAGATCAATCAATCCTACTCCGGAGGCTTGAAAATCGATACGGTATATCCGGAGACCCACTGAAGACGTTTGAATCCTATCTGAGTGGAAGACAGCAGAGTATTGTTATCGACGCATCTCAATCAATGCCTAAAGTTCTTGATTTTGGTGTTCCCCAGGGTTTTGTTCACAGCATACACTGCACTAATTGGAGATACCATCCGTGAGATGGGTCTTAATTACCACCTCTATGCAGATGATACCCAGGTGTGTTCTTTGACTCGTCCTTCGATATGAAAAGCCATGCATCCAGGTTGTGCAAAAAGGCGAACTTTCACCTATATAACATTGGCAAAATTTGACCCTATATTGACCTTGATGCCACTAAAATGTTAATAAATGCTTTTGTTATGTAATCTTTAGATTATTGTAATTCATTATTGTATTCTCTTCCTAAAACGCTTGCAAGTCAGCTACAGAAAATCCAGAATAAAACAGCTCGAATTGTATCTCTCACCAAATCATCTGACTATATTACACCAGGGTCCGTATTCAAAGGATATATTAAGTCTAAGATAGTCACTTAACTACTAGATTTCACTCAAATATATGTAACTTCCTGTAAGTTAAGAGCAAGTGGTATTCAAAGGCAGTGTTAAGTATCGAATTTTCCCTTAAAGTTAAGCTG